GCTTTATTTTGCTTAGACACAATCAAGCTAAATATGACAATAAGCAAAATGTTGTTTATGTGTATTATACTTGAATTATAAAGTACTTAATGACTAGACGAATGCAGTTATCCTCGAGTTTTTTATAACTAAGTTAGTTAAATTTTTATGTTTAAAAATAAAAATTGTATTAAAATAAAATAAAAAATAAAAATTGTATTAAAATAAAAGCAAAAAAATATTTCAAGAAAATCTTTTATAAAATATTCTAAACATAAATTATAGTAGAATCAAGTTTTAACAAAAAATTGATTCTACAATACATTTGCTTCATATTCAGCATGTTGCTTAAAATTTGTTGCAAGCAAAAGTTTAAACTTCATAATTTAAAATATCATTATCTGGGGAGATGGATTTTCCTAAAGAGGTATCATTTATGATATATAAAGAGATGTAGGTATCGAGACATTTTTGTCTTAAGACGTCTTAAGACTCATGTTTAACTGTCTCAGTCTTGGTCTTGGACCATGATGAAGTATTGGTCTTGGACCAAGATGGAATATTGGTCTTGGACCAAGATGGAGTATTGGTCTTGGACCAAGATGGAGTATTGGTCTTGGACCAAGATAGAGTATTGGTCTTGGTCTCGGATATTTATTATCTTGCACTTTCCTGATCTTTACAAAAAATGTCATCATATTAGATGGGTTAGTAATTAATAATAAGTTATGAAATGAAGTTTTACATAGATGTCTGTTTTAATTCTTAGTATTTAAAAAGAATATGTAAACTTTACTTTCTATTTGCATATTTTTATAATATGTGGCTATTAAAGTTACAAAAAAAGCTAAGCTTGTCTGCTATATGCTATTCTTAGTTTCACAAATTGATGCTCTTGCGTTGTTTTTTATAAGCATATTTTTGTTTTTAACAATATAAGAAACCTTTTAAGTTTCTGTTTAAATTAAACAAAAACATTGCACTGCAAAATTTGCAATAACATACAGGGGGGCGGATCTAGGGTACGTCTAGTACGTCTGTAGACGTATCCAAAAATAAAACTAAATCTAAAAAAAAAAAAGTTCATATATTATTTCAATAGTGCGTATAAAAATAATTTTTTTAGTTAACCGTCAAGTGAATTAAATTTAAGTTTTACTACCTTCATACGAACAAAAAAATTTCGCTTCTAGTTTAGAGTAATTAAGGTTGCTTTTTGTTTAGAGCGGTAAATAAAAAAATCTTTTTTAACTGGAGGTTAAGTAATAATTAATAAACAATATTTAATTAGAAGAGTCAATGGACGTACCCAATATTATTTTGTTAAACGATAAAAAGCGTTTTTAAATTTTTATTTTTTTTGTTGTTAAAGCAAAATATTAGTTTTTTTACTTATAACAATTTTTGGACGTACCCAAAGTAGTACACCCTAATTAAAATTTTAGTAAAAATCCATTGTTTAGCAATAATCAGGAGGTGAAATATATTTTAATAGTTATTACATATCAAAATAAAACAATGGACGTACCTAACATTACTTTTTTCTGTGATTAAGCTTTTTATTTAGTTTAGGTTTCAATATTTTAATTTTAAGTAATCGATTTTATTTATGAAAAAACACTGTCGAACGTACCTTTCAACTTTCACCCTGAAATATTTAAAGTTTACTGTGATATTTAAAATGTCTCGACTCTTGTAACGTATTTTTCTTAATAAATCAAGTGCTTGCAACATTTCCGTGTTTATGCTGGTGATAAAATTCTTTAAGATCAGCTTTTTAAGATATTAGCATAGTCATGAGAAATAGATTAATTTCTTATGATATTAGCAACAAAAAACGCTTCTTACATATCTAAGACACCATAATATCTGGTAAAAAAGTGTTTCAGAGAGGTTAATAACAAAATAGTTTAAAAATTTTAAACATTTTTCTGATGAAGTTTCTGACAATTAAAGTAAAGAACAACAACTTTTAATTATATGGTTTGTTGGTTAAAAGTTCAATAAGGAAATTTATCAGTTTCTTAGAAACCTAGTAGGGATTATTTTATTTTTTGGTAAAAAACATTTCGAATTCCTTTTTATATATCATAAATTGTGATACAGTGGTGCTAGAGCAATTGATGGTCACACTAAAGATTTGTTCTCTTGTATTTTAAATCTAAATGAAAAAGCTGCATATGCTCATTGCAACACTCATAGACTTAATTTATGTCAAGTATCTTTTTAGCACTCTATTATGTTTTGCAATATGACAAGTATCTTTTTTGGCACACTTTAATGAGGTATCATACTTTTTAAACTTGTACATACCAGGCAACAAATTTTAGAGGAGCATATGGAAAGTACTTTTCCATGTTGAACATGTTGGGTGGAAAAGGTTGTTTTTTTTTGTAGATAATTTTCAAGAGCTTTGTGCTAGTTCCTACAAAAATGATTTCAGAAGTTCAATTATATCTTTTAGTAAATTTTATGAAACAGATCTACTGAATTCCCATGCTTTAACCTTGTGAGCTTCATTTATGTGCAGCCTTATAGTTAAATTTAAAAAAGTTGTTTCAGTATTAATATTACTGAGTTATTAAAAGTGATAAATTTTCCTAGTTGTAAAAACATTAAAAATTCACATGCTACTTTTCCATTAACTTCATGTGAATGTGAGTGCAAATATTAATCATTTTGGTGCCTGAAATATATATGTTAAGCACCCTGGTATAGTGCCAAACAATAATATCACCCATTTTATTTAATCATTTATATATATATATAATGCTAAGTTGTATTTGTTATATTGGCAAATGCTTTTGTTTTTTAAATTAATTTTTTTCAGTTTAATGTATTATGCGGTAGTGGTGTAGTGGTAGAGCGCTCCCTTCGAGTGGTTCCGAGTTCGATCCCCACCACGAGTTATCAAAATGAATGTTTAATAAGATTTTTTTTTAACAAAATGTGGCATTAAGAATGCATCTCTAAATGCCTCTTTATATAATTTAAAGTTACATATTTAATATACAAGTATTTTATTATAATTTGTGTTATTTTATAATATATTTGTTAAAATATAAATATAAAATTTTGCATTGTGCAATTTATTTTATTAATGATAATGTATAAATATAGTTTTTACTAATAGATCTGTAAATAATGTGTAAATATATAACTTTATAATCTAAAAGTAAAGTGCCCCAGTGATAACCTTGCATATTTTTGATTGAAGAAAGGCTCTTATTAGATTAACTTAATAGACCTCTTTTAATAATAGACCTCGATTAATCTTGATATATTAACGGAAGAGGTCTTCCATGGTGGGATGTATGTATTCTTTTGCTTTTCAACTAAGGACTAGAGACACCAAAAGAAAAAAAAGGTCCTTTATATTTCCAGTATGCCAACTATAGTTTAAAACTTGCTTAATGTGCTATTCAAATGCTTGTAAGATAGCTAAAGGGGAGGGGGTGAGGGACACCTGCCACCTCCCCCCATCCTTCGGAACGGCCCTGGGGAGGGGGTTAAAGATATTTCTAAAAATCAGATGTACCCAAATAATTTCCTGGGTCCGCCCCTGACATAATTATACCATACTTGCAAAGTTACGCTTGGTTTCTGTTCCGTGCTTAAAACCTTCTAAAACAAAATTGTGAAATTAACTATTATTATTTAACATGAATAACATTTAAATTATTATTGGTTTCACCGTTACAGAAACCTAGTATTATATTATTACAACTTTCCGTAAGGAATAAGAAACCATTAATAAAAACATGTGACATAAGTTTGACTTTAAAACCTCAAAAAATACGAGCAAAACTGCCCTTAATAACACGTGTTTTTGGTTTAAGTCTAAATCGTGACAAACAAGTGTCTATACAGGTTTTAATTCCGAAAAAAAGACTAGATGTATTGGTAGGGCTTGGTCTTGGTCTTGAGTCATAAAGTATTGGTTTTAGTCTTGGTCTTATCTAGAGATTTATATATGAAAATATAAGTTTTATTTGAACTTAATTGTAGAACAAAAATACACATTAAAACATCAAAAAATAAAAAATAAATTAAATCTTTTGAAATATTTTCGAAAATTATTTTTTTAAGTTAATAATATAGTATTTTATTGAAAATAACTTTGGGTGTACCAAAAAGACTGAAAAAATACATTCAGCAAGCATACACATTGTAAAAAACAGGAAGTTAACAACAATGGCAATCATTGGTTTTTTTGATGGTAATAGCCCTTTATGTGTTTAAAAAAGATAGAATTAACACGGCTGTTGAATTATTGTGGGGGTGGTACCTTACTCTACTAATCTTTATTTTTTGCAATTTTAATCTTAAAATTAAAACTGAATTGTTCTATGTTTTTAAAAAGAACAAAACTACCGCCTGTGTTAGAATTATTGAGAGGGTTGAGTTATTGTGGGGGTTGTACCTTACCCTAATAATTTTTTTTTTTTTTTTAATGATTTTTATCTTATAACTAAAGATAGTAATATTTCCATTCATTTTGTATATTATTTTTATTTTTAAAAAAATAACTTTTGGTATAAAAATTTGGTACAAAAATTTTTTTTCTAAAAATTTCTTATTCCTATCCATTCAGTTTTTAAATAGTGAAACGAAATTAAATTTAAGAATCAAACGACATCATTTTAAGACATAAATTTAAGAGTTCAAACGACAAAACTGTTAACCAACTTTTTTTATTGCAGCAAAAATTTAATTACCGTATATAATATATTTCTCGCCTAAATCGAAGTATAACACAGAAGTAAGATTGTAAGAAGTAAGATTGATTATATAAAAATATTTATTGGAATATTTTTATTGCAGTATTATTTCTATTATTTATAATACATGGTATTTAGAAACGATATATCAAATATCTATGCAGTTGTAAAATAAAGCTAAAAAATTAAAGTTAGCAAAATCAAGTTATATATTTACACTGAGTCCGAATTTCCATTGTTTTTAGTACGAAGTATAAAAAGTTTCGATAGAGCTTTAGCAAGTAAGAAAATTAAACTTACGTTCGTAATTAGTTAAAATTCAATAACAAATTTGCGCTCCAGGCTTTATATTTATAAGCAAGTTTTGTGAAAAACAAACAAACAGACAATACGTCTTAAAACAAAAATATTGCAAACGTTTAAACCTACGATCAATTAAAGAATTATAATAATAAAATTATTATAATAACTATGTATTAAAAATTCAACCAATCAGATTTTCAGGTTTTTAATATACTATTTAAAGGAAGCCCTAATTAACGTGTTAAATCAAGTGTTAAAACAGTCTGCATCGACTTTATTCAGTTTTATTTTAAGATTTAAGTATTTTTTGATTAAATAAAAAAGCGGAAACAACATTTTGAATTGAATGAGAAATTCCTTTCTTGCGCGAGCAATAAAATTAAACTGAGAAGTTGTTAAAACAAAGATTTTAAACCATTAACCTTAATTATATCGTACACAAATAAGTGAAGCAAAAAATGATATCATTTATAAATTTGCCTTGTTATTTAATTTGAGAAAAGTTTTGCTGCGCCAAATCTTAAACGTTTCAATTGGTTCTTTATTCAACCCCCGGAAACACAAGTGTATACTTTAGTAAAATATGTTAGTTACGATAATTGTATATCGACAAAGCCGAACAAATTTGAGTTTCTTAACAAAGCCGTTGGAAAATTGAAAATAAAAAAGTTTTAAGATTTGCGTTGTTTAATGTTTCTTTAACTTTTATAAACTTCAAATATTTAAGAAGTTAGATTGTAATGTTTTATTTCGCAAAAATTATTGCAGTTAGTCATTCCACAAGATTTTTTTTTGTCCGCATTTTTATATATGATTAACATGGTTGCATATAGTTAAAAACACTTTGAATTAGAAAGACTAGAATTAAAAAATTGAGGGGTCTTTGAGCGATAGTTGTTAAGTAAATACGAGGTTGTGTAATGGCACTGAAATAAAATAAGTAAACATCAAAAATCTAGCGCAAAAATGACAAAAACGACAAAAACTTAAACGACAATTCTAAAAGAGTAGTGGCAACGCAGCCCTTGGTCCACAAAAGACGTGCTAATAAATTTTATAACAAAATTAGAGATATAACTAATCTTTGCAATACAAATCCAAATGTAGCCGCACTATGTTTTGACTTCATGCAAAACCTCCCTCCTTCGCACTTACCTCTTCAAGAGGCATTTTACTATCGTCAACTTTGGGTAAATTCCTTTAAAATTCACAACCTGGGAAATAATACGGGCTACTGTTTTCACAAATACGGGCCACTGCTTATCACAATAGACAGGCCCGAAAAAGCCCAAATGAAGTATGTACCTTTCTACAGAACTATATCTTCACAAAAATTCCGGATTCTGTTCAAGAACTTCAATTATTATCTGATGGCTGCCCCGGCAAAATAAAAACCGCACCCTTGTTCGATTTGTAGTAGCTTTACAAGCCGGGAAGTGTTTTAAAAAAATTTATCATTATATTCCTACGCGAGAACACTCATTCTTTCCCTGTGATAGAGGATTTGGTAATATCAAAAGAAATATACGAAAGCATGATTGCATCTACCTTGTTAATGAGTATACTGATTAGCAAAAAAAACCTCTAAATCATTAACAATAACGAAGATACGCACCAGGACATTTTAAAATTTAAAGATTGGTGCCCTAATGTTTATAAAAAGCCCCAAAACCCATTAGAGATAACACACGCGATCGTGCATTTTCTGTTTTGGATTATAAAATGTTTGTTAATGACAGTGCAATACCTGGGTACGTGACAACATATGACTTTATTGATTAAATGTTCCAGAACTTTTAAACTTTTAAAAAATCAAGTTGAGCAACAACTGCTCACCAAGAAAGTATATCAGGAACCAATTACAATAAATAAAAAAAAGATCAATGATGTTAAGAACCTAGAACGTTACATACCCGCAAACGCAACTGAGTTTTATGAAAATACATATTCCATTAAAACAACCGGTAACATGAAGGAAGATAATTAACTTTTTTTTTATTACAATGACTATTGTTTTTTAATTTAAAAACTTATTTGTTTAATAAAGTGTAGCTTTTCACGTAAAGTTCGCAGTTATTTTATTCCCTGATTCGTAAAAGTTTGATTGTGAGTAGAAATAGTGCTTGTGGAATTTATTTAATTTGTGTAGCAAGAATAACTTTTTTTCTTTGAACCACCACTATATTAACAGGTCTTTAGGTAATGGAAGTAAACACTTGCTAAGATAACGGGCATCCAAAGTAAATAGTTTTTAAACTATAACTTTTTAAAACTTAAACATTGATTATCTCGAAACGAAAATATTGGACTAGTACAGTTCTACTTTTCACCGATTCATTTATGAGAATAAAGTTTATAAAAGTCACGTGTTTTTTGTCAAACGTCAAATGTTTTTTTAGCTTTTGATTAAGTCACTCTGACGTCAAACGAAAAAAATCCTATTGAATGAGGTGATAACACTGCAAAGAATAAGAGGAAATCCTTTAAGAATTTTTGAAAAATAAGAATGTTATAAGAAAATCATAATGAAGACGTGCTGAAAAAATGATGTAATTTTTATATCATTTAAGGAATATGTACTAATTATGTTATGCATTATTACGGCATCGTTTTATTTTATTTGGAATTAAAAATTGATCTGCAAAAGGTTGTTGTTAAGAATCGATAATAAAATTTCTAAAAATCTGTTGTGGTAACATAGGGCTGCCTTACGTCCCGGTACACCTGGACCCGGTTTTAAGATCTGTGTCCCTGTATAAAAAAATAACCCCGGTATTAGATGCATTGGAAACACTTTTTACATTTTTTGTTTGTTTATGTATTCTTCTAACTTCTGCTGAATTTAATTTTGATTTCAATTATTCAAATAACGTAAAAGCCCAAAGCTTGTTTTCATAATCATTCAGAAGATGATACCGACACCTGGACTATTCTGCCCCCCCCCCCCCCACAAGCAAACAAAAAATTTAAAAAAACTTATCAATATTTTTAGCGTTATTATTTTATTATCATCACTAGTATAGCTATATCAGTATCGGTATTATTGTTTTTATTATAATTGTAAGTATAAGGGCATTATAAGTATTATAAAACAAGTATATTCCTGACGGTACATTCAGGCCCGTCTTTACACATGTCCACCTTAGGCAGCCGCTGCGGGGCTAATCCAAATCATCGCCCTAGATACGTCACTGTTCTGCTGAGCTTACAAACGCCAACATGACGAATTAATGTCTATTGAGGCTGGAGGAGGGAGGGGGACGATTGTTGAGTTTAATCTAATCAATCGACTTTTATTTGAGCTTTAAAGGCAAAGACAAGTTTATGCTTTACTAATTAGAAAAACAGATTTATTTTAGGAAGGAAAGGAGCGGAGAGTTTGTAGAGGCCGCAACTTTTATTTCGGTATGGGGCTAGGACAAACTAAAGGCGGTCCTTTAAATCAACTTGAAAAAAACTTGACAACTATTGTCATAATTGTCACACGTTTTTTTTTTTTTTTTTGGAGAAGGGGGGGAGGGGAGCTTTTTCGCGGTCGGTAGTCCGAAATTTATGACAGCCCTATGGTAACAATTACAATCATTCGACAACCACGACATGAACAATTGTAGCAATTATACTTTTTGTTAAAAATAAATTAAAAATTATATATATATATATATATATATAAATATATATATATATATATATATATATTATATATATATATATATATATATAATATATATATATATATATATATATATATATATATATATATATATAAATATATATATATATATATATATATATTATATAATATATATATATATATATATTTAAATAATTTAAAAAAGGTATTCTACAAAATCGAGTGCTCAATGTTCTTTAAAGAACAGAGCAAATATAAATTAGTAGAAAATCAGTGGTAGCAGGATGAAAAAAGAGGCATTTTTTGAAATTTTTTGAAAATTTCAAAAATTATATTTTTGAAAACATTAGGGTGTCTTTTTTTTATAAAAACTTGGTGTGTTATAAAAACTCTTATGCATTCAAGCAAAATTTGCCCTTCTAGATAAAACTATTTAAATTCTATGGCCATAGCAACCGCCTTAGCAACGACTACTTTTGATGTATTTCAGGATTGAAACCTGATCTAGGCATCTAGTTTTCACCTAAAGGCTTCTTTTGTTTTTTTAAACATTTTTTTTATTCAGTCTATAAGCTATACACTAAAGCCTCTAAAACTCTTTTAAATTCAGAGCTTCTAAATAAATGTTGTGTTATTGATTCTTATTTTCTATTATTCTTGTTATGGACAAGGTGTCCAAAAAGAGTATAAATTGGGAATGATGTTTTTAAAACTGCAGTTGCATCTGCTGCTAATGCCTTTAATGATGGTGCCCAAAAATTGCTTGCAGTATTTTTAAAAAACTAGGTATAGAAAATTAGAATTTTACTGTAGAAGGTTCAAGAAAATCTGATATTCAGCGTGTCAAGCAATCTGAAAAAAAGTCAACCAGCTCAGTAAAACAAAGAAAAAAACTTCTTGTAATCAGAAAAAGTTTTAATGATAAAAATGAACTTGAGGAAGGAGACACATATGCAAGTGGAGCATTTTAGTTTTTTTATTTGAGTTTTAATATTTTATTTTCATTTATTTGATTTTTTGATTAGGTTTTTCTTGACTTTTACGATGTTTGTAGTCTCTTAACAAGGATAATTTTTGATTGGATAAAGCTAAATTATTGGATTGAATTCAGAAAGCTAAATTATTGGATTAAAGATTGGATCGAGCTGAAATTTTTTATGGTGCTACCTAGTTCTATTTATAGTGTTTTGAGCGAAGCACTTTTTTAAATTTTATAAAAACAAGGCTAGCAATATGACTTTTACAGAAAAATGTTTTTCTTTTTTATGAAATTTAAAGTTTGACAGTGAACCTGGCGCGTTTAAAAAACTTTTTTTTTTCTGGCTTGCTCAGAACATAGTATTACTAATTAAAATTGCAATTTTTAAATTTCAAAAGATTTTGATTTTTTACTAAGCTATCCTTGTTGGAAAAAACATCAAAATAGGTGTTTATGACGTGACAATTAATGACGTCATCATTAAATTTTTGTGCAATCAGTGTTAATTGTTCTTTTTTTAATAGTATATACCGTTAAAATAAAATATTTTTAACAAAAGCTTAAAAATTTTTTTTTTCTGATTTCTAATGAGTCTTTGTTGATGAAACACTGTGTAAAATGAAAAAAAATTTTGTTAAGTAATTTTCTACTAATTTATATATATATATTATATATATATATATATATATATATATATATATATATATATATATATATATATATATATATATATATATATAATATATATATATATATATATATATTATATATATATATATATATATTATATATATATATTATATATTATATATATATATATATATATATATATATATATATATATATAATATATATATATATATATATATATTAGGGTTGTTCACGAAAGCCAAAGTTGAATTTTCGTTAAAAAAAAAAGTTTTCGAAACTCTATTTTCGTTTCGGTAAATTCGAAATAATTTTTAAGTAATTAATTTTGCGTCGAAACGGTTTTTTACTTTCGAAATTATAAAATTTGCTTCGAAATAATTTTGCGATTTCGAAATTCTGGAAATATTATCGAAATAACTTTTTACTTTCAAAATTGTAAAATTTGCTTCGAAATATTTTTGCGATTTCGAAATTCTGAAAATATTGTCGAAATAATTTTTTACTTTTGAAAATGTAAAATTTGCTTCGAAATATATTTGCGTTTTCGAAAATCGGAGAATATTACCGAAAAAATTTTTTACCTTCGAAATTGTAAAATTTGCTTCGAACTATTTTTGTAATATCGAAATTCTGAAAATATTACCGAAAAAAAATTTTTACTTTTGAATTTCTTCGAAATATTTTTGTTATTTCGAAATATTTTTGTTATTTCGAAAAGTATTACACAATATACAAATATTACTATTAAATTCTAAAATTTGCTTATATTTATTTTATTACTGAAATTATACAAAGTTTTATTAAAATGTTTTTATAAATAATTAAATTTAAAAAAATAACATAAAATAATACTTAAAATTTTTGGTGTTACAGCACAGTGGTGGCAGAGAAAAGGGTTTAACTACCTCCCACTATTTTATAGAAGAATCTGCAATTATTTTAAAAATAACTCAGGGGTCGTTCGCAAATCACCTATTTAAATTATTTAAAAATAACTCATGGGTCTTTCGCAATCACATATTTAGACCTAGGGGGTTTCGGATTTTATGACACTTTGTAACTTTATAATTGGGGGGGGGGGATACATTTGGGGGCTTTTTTTCAAATTTTTGAGGGTCTTTTACTGAATATGGGGAGCTTTTTTATTTTTAGTAACAGGTTTTTTCTGAATTTTAGGGGCCTTGGTTTTTGGCTTAAAGTCCTTGATTGGTGTTGCAAATATAACAATAACATTTATCAACTACAAGTAAACTTTCTTAAGAAATTTGCTTATCTTTATACGAAGTTATTGTTATTAGTTACAGTTCATTGATATTCCGTGGACATCTGCTGCGCGGGACAAACAATACCTTCTCATTCACCTCTCTCGCCTGATTAGATTATGCTTCATGACTTTTTACTTTTATAAAATTATTTTTAGGGATTATATTTACCCTCACCAAAAGCTTGAATAGCCTTTTTGATAGCTTGAATAGCGTTAAAAAATAAATAAAAAATTTTTTTTGCCTGTCGTTTTGACTACACAAAAATTTCTTTTGAAAATACTTTTTTTATTTCAAAAACACAATGATTAAAAATCAAATTCATCCATCTAAATTTGAATAGAGTAAATTTGAAAGAAAAGTTTCATAACTGTAGACACGCAGAGTCTGAAAGTAAAGAATTTTATTTTTAATATCTGTAAATTTTTAAAAATAAAGTAGAAGGCCAGCCTCAAAAAATTAGCAAAAACTAAGTTGTTTTTCGAATTTTTCTCTAAAATCTAATAAAGATTATCTGGTTAAACAAGAAATAAAGAATTTTGACACTCCCTTCTTAGAATGCATAGTTCACAGCACGCACGTAAGTCATTATTATTCCTCAACGGCAATTCCCTTGAGGCCTTAAAAGCATGACATGAAATCATTGTTGCAATGTAAACGGCTAATTACTCTCTAGTGGTTATTTAGAGATTTACAACGGTTTCAAATCGATTTATGCCTTTGCGATTTTTGTGTTACATAACTCTAAAAAAAATGTAACTTTATATTACTTTAATATAACAATCTCATTAATACCTCGGTAACGTTAGTGAAGTAACATGTGATACAAATTTATTTTAACATAAGTTACTAATTTGTTAATATTTGTTACATACAAACAATTAAAAAACTACTCGATTTTTAGTTTGAATAAACAAATAAATCATGTCAAAACAAATAAATCCGTATATTAAGAAAGGAATAAGAAAACGAAGCTTCGTTTGGACATATTTTGAAATGGACCAAAAGAATCAAAAAAAATGCAGCATATGTTATAAGATTTTACCTTACCACAGTTCGACCAGTTCAATGCAATCCCATTTATCAATTGATCATTGCATTAATTCTAAAATATCTAAAAAATCAACAACTTTACTCAACGATGACGATATATCCGATATTGAGAGCGGTAATGAGAATGGTTTTGAAGAGACTGGTCATAAAAAATTAAACAAGTTATTGGTGAATTTTATCGTTGGTACCGATCAGCCGATTTCGATAGTACGTCATTCAGATTTTGTAAACTTAGTTAGTGAGTTAAACAAAAGCTATTAAATGCCATGCATAAATACGGTGAGCAAGAAATTAATTCCATCAATTACGAACAATCTTAAATCAATTTTAATGCTAGAGTCGAAGGAATGTCATTTCATTACAATTACTTGTGATAGTTGGACATTGGGTAAAAATAGCTACCTCGGTGTGACTTGTCATTTTATGGACGAAAATATGAATTTAGTTGACCGAAACCTGGATCTTAAGTTTATGTCTGAAATGAAAACAGCTGAATATTTATTTAATAAGTTAAACGAAATCTTCAGTGAATGGTCAATCAATAATAAGATTTTTGCACTAGTTACTGACTCAGGTGCAAATATTTTCTCTGCAGTAAATAAATTTGCTGATAATGTTCTTAAGATTCCGTGTGCTGGTCATCGTTTGAATCTCGTGGTTAATGATCTTCTAAACGCGAGAGATATAAAAGTAAAAAAAATTAAAAATGGGTCAAAGCGTTACGAAATAATAGATTACGACGGTAATGGAAAATTAATTAATAGAGAAACTACAGAAAGTGAAGTTAAAGAAATTGAAAAAATTAACGAAGGCAAATTAGAAATCGCCAAGGTAATTTCATCTTGCAGGCACATTGTTGGCTCATTAAAGCATTCAGAGATGTTACAAAAAAAGTTAAAAGAAGTTCAAGAAACACTTCGTTATAAAACTAAAATAAAGTTAGTACAGGATATAGCTATTCGCTGGAATAGCCAATTTGATATGATTGAATCTATATTAACAAATAAAACTGCATTGGGTATGATAAGCATCGAATTTCCAAATATAAAAGACTATCTTTCCACTGCAGCTGAATTTAAGGTGCTGGAGGATTTGTGTGATTCGTTACACCCAATTAAAGAGCTAACCAAACTTTTTAGCGGAAAGAAATATGTTACAGTAACATTCTTGTTTCCAACTTGTTTCTCTACTAAATGGAATACTTGAATCGCAACCTATTTTCACAGAACTAGTTAAGACTTTTCAAAAGGAATTACTAAGGTCTCTAAGGGCGTTTTAAATACATTTTTGCTAATGATTTTTTCTTAGCAGCAACTTTTCTTGATTTCAAATTTCGTAAATTCGAGTTTATCAAAAATGATATCTATAGATATGAATGCATTTCAAAGGCAAAAATGTTTATAAAAACATTTTATGAAATGCATCTAAAAGAATCCGAAGAAATCGATATAATAATTGAAGCAAATTGTTTAAATAACACTTTGAACTCGTCAAACAGCTCAGCTGACAATACCATAAAAACATTTCAGCAATCGTCAATGCTATCTATTGCAAATAATATTACTTTAGTTATTAACAAAAGACGAAAGTCAATCAACTTAATTGAACTAGTAACAGATAAATCTTGTTGTAATTTATTTGAGAGCAATGATAAACTTGAAAAAGAAATAAATGATACAGTCTGCAATACTTTCAGAGCTACGAAAATAGTGCCATTGAATTTTTCCAAGCTAATCAAAAATTGTTCCCGGTTTTGACACAAATTGCACGGATAATATTTTCAGTTCCAGCGACATCCGTGCCATCAGAATGCTTATTTAGTTCAACCGGTTTAATAGATGCAGAGCTACGGAACAGGCTTGCGCCGAGCTTATTGAAGCAGTTAGTTTTTATTAAAGAAAACAAGTAATCAAAAACATTTCTTTATTAAATTAAGTTTTAGTAAAAGTGTATTTTATAAATCTTAGTAATTCAAAGCACTTGTGTTCTTTTTTTTTTATCTGATGAACTTTTTTACAAACAGCTTAATTAATGATAATATGTTTTCTGTTATATTCTTTTCAATTCTGGAAAAAACACGAATATCCAACCATTGAGCTGCCATCATGGCAGGTGCAAATAGGTGTGACGTGGTGGGGTGTAAAATTTTTGTTGAGTAAAAAATTAGGTCCTTGTTTTTTGAAATTCGACGACCTGTCTAAAAGGTCTACATTTGCCGACTTCTTTAAAAGGGTTATTTTTGGCGACTAAATGCACAAAAAATGCATTTAGGAAGGTGTGTGTGTAAATGATTCGTAAATTTAAATAATCTTTCCCCGTTATTGAATGGTTTAGAATTTGTAACTAAAGGGGACTAATTTCATAGCTTGTAGCAGTAGCATTTACTGTTATGATATTGCCCTTTTTAAAGAAATCTTGTTGTTCAAACAACTAATTATAAATTGGATTGTTTTATCTTTCCCTAACTTGAGGAAAATCTTTATGAACAAAAAAGTGAATAGAAGAGAGTCTTTTTTTAACTTTCTAGGAGTGATTATAGATGAAAATATATCATGGAAATATCATATTAAATCTATTGAAATTAAAATATCCAAAAATACTTCAATGCTATTTATAGTTAAACCTTAACTTTATTTAGCATAAAAAATATATAATTTTCTTTATACGGAGTCTTTGAAAATTATATATTTTTCATTTAGGGAGAGTGGGGCAAAGTGGGTCGAATTTCTTTCTTTTTTAATTTGAGTGAAAGTTAAAATATATATTTTATGTTTGTCAAGGCTAAAGGATTGAGAATATGTCCTTCATGATAAGAAATAACTAAAATCTAAATATATATTATCTAACAGCTCACAGAAAGGTTTAAAGTGAGTTTTGTTAAGTGACAATTAACTCATTCGCAATTTAGTGGTAGTTTATGGGGGCTTAGCCAAATAATTTTGAGGATGAGGGTGTAAATACATTGTACACTATACTTTTGGTGCACTTTTGGTAACTAATATTAAATAATTTAAATTTTTTCTGATTGAAAAAATAAAGAATAAATTTTATTGATAACAAAACTTATTCAACCATCTAAAATCACAAAAAAAAATTTATTTAATAAAACTTATTTAACCAACACAAGAAATTTTTTAAAGTAAATTTTTAATTTTTATAAACATTTTTATCACAGTGAATTAACCGTTTCACGGTACCCCGATTCATTGTGCCCCACTATAAAAAATAAGGTTCAAGTTTAATTTCTAGGGGCACGAGTTTTATTAAAGGAAAAGCAAAACTACTAAAATGAACCATAAAGATCAGTATTCCGAATATAAAACTTTAACTTATAAAATGATTTTAACCATGATCTTCACAACAAACATAAAGATGGTAAGAGCATTTATTTTAGTTAGCTAAAAACATAAATTACCTACCTAAAACCGAGAGTCAAAAATTATGTGGTAACACCTATAAATAAAGATGGATGATATATGCGCACATAAACTTATTACATCATCGTGATGAACAAAATCATAATCTTTGAAAAAATGCTTCTTATTCCCTGTGCCCCTCAATCCACTGTACCCTGACTTCCCCTAATCATAGTTATCTTGAGCAAAAACATTCATGCAGGATTATATTAGGCATTAACAGAACTGTTAATGATGAATCTTTTTTTAAAAACTTAATGTGCTTAATGTTTATAAACTTAATATATACCAAGTTATGCTTTTTACGTTTAAATCAAAACATGCGTTATCTCCTTATATATTTCACTCTTACTTTGCAGAAATATCTCATTAATACCCATCTGATAATTTTGTAATCCCAAGGTCTTATTTAAAACTCAATTCATTTCAAATTCAATACCGTGGACCATTTATATGAAAAAGTTTTAAAAAAAACATTAAAAATAAAATTCTTCTAAGAGCAATTCTAAGAACATCTCCTTAGAATAATTCGAAAGAGAATCTAAACGTTTTCTATAAGAAAAAAATTTCAATATTTCTTTTAATATTTCTTTTAATAAGTTCGAAATTAATTTAGCTTTCCAAATATCTATTGGTTTTTTCTCGAAATTAATTGCACAATTCCAAACTCTTTTTTTTCTTTCGAATTTAATTTGACTTTCAAAATACACTTTTTTTTTTCGAAGTTAATTTGACTTTTCAAAACTCTTTTTTTTCTTTCGAAATTAATATCACTTTTCGAAATACATTTTTTTTTTCGAAATAAATTTCCTTTTTCGAAATCCAGCTTTTTATTTCGAAATTAATTTCACATTTCGAAATTCTTTATTTCCATTCGAAATTAATTTCCTATTTCGTAATCCACCTTTTTATTTCGAAATTAATTTCACATTTCTAAATTACTTTTTTTTTCGAAATTAATATGGCTAGTTCGATTATTATCGAAAGTTTTTTTAGATTTCGAAAAAAAAGAAGTATTTCGATAACGTTTTAATCGAAAATTTTCGAAAATTGCAATTTCGATAATGAACCCTAATATATATATATATATATATATATATATATATATATATATATATATATATATATATATATATATATATATATATATATATATATATATATATATATATATACTACTAGTGCTTGATTTATATATATATATTATATATATATATATATATATATATATATATATATATATATATATATATATATATATATATATATATATATATATATATATATATATATATAAATATATATATATATATATATATATATATATATATATATATATATATACATATATATAAATATATATATATATATATATATATATATATATATATATATATATATACATATATATAGTAGATTAACATTTCAAGTAAGTTTAAGTGATCAATACAGCGAGTTATATAATAGGCAGAGCAAATAATATGTTGCATACTAAATAATTAATAAGATATATTTAATAAAATAACTTCAAGTTTTACGCAATAGCGTTTATTAGACACAAATACACAAAAACATCAAGACAAAAACTATATAGAATATATAGAATGTAGAAATATGTCCGCTTTGATGCCGTTATTTCCACGGCGGCATTTTGACGTACGCTGATTTTATTTATTGAGCGCTTTAAAAGTCCCGTATTGTTTTTAAAATACGGTCGCTATTTTTTTTTTTAATTGAAGTGGTCTATAAATGCCCTGCGTTTTTAAAATCATCGTATTTTTTTACTAATAAAATAAAAAAAGTTTTTTACTATTTTCAACATTATTAAAACAAAATGCTATTATTCGAGTTTAAGAATATATAAATCATACTACATAAGCACAAAATTTTAAAAATGTATTTGCTAATATTCACTTTTTGTGTGATAATTGGAAAAGCATGGAGCTGCACAAAGTTCAAAATTACAGTCTACACATTCATATCTTATATTTTTCGAACACTGTGGTTGTAACATACCACACACCTTCTTTGAGCATTAATCTTTTATTATCATTTTTAAAAATCATACATCAAATATATTTTTTCATAAGTGATTCATCAAATGTATAATTTTTTTATCTTTTCGTGAATAAATATTTACTTTTTATTAACTATTTTTGCAGTGAAAGAACTTCCTTATTTGTCATATTTAAAATTAAAGTGAACACGTGTAAAAGTGGATTATTAAAATAAAAGCTAATTATTTTATAATAAATTTTGTGACAAGCAGATGAATAATTACTGATAAACAAAAAAAAAATATATAAGGAGTAGCATAAAACTGTATTATTTCGGCATAGATATTTGGGAACCACTTTTAGTTTGCGAAATATTACGGCATGGATATTTATAAAACACTTTAAGTTTGCGTTTAATAATATTTCGGCATGGTCTGTTAACGGGTTAATAAAGTGCGATTTAACAATCATTTTCCGTCAAGCAATTTACCATCAGGTTCGAATGGGTCTGGTTTTTTATATCAGTAATTTCATGTTATGTGTTTATGCTTATTTAATCAAGAACACAAATGTTTAAGAAATTTACATTTTTGAAATGAAAAATAAACTTTATTTTAATATTACAATAACCTAATTGATTTATAAAAACTAAACTAATTTATTTATAATTTTACATTTATATTTTATTATCAAAATACCCGCCTCACAACGATTATTGATTTTTCACACCGTGACACTTTTATTTTTGCAATTTCTCATAAAATATAAAGAAAAATATATTATAACTTATCTT